TCGCATGGAAGAAGGGGGCAAGCTCCGCAAAATAGGTATTCACCCTGACCCGACACCGCGATCGTAGAGTCATCCGCATGAGTTACGACCTCGATGCCGTCTGGGGCGCGGAATTCCGGAAAGGCAGAGTTTAAACAGTTCCGGAGATATCATCCCACCTAGGGGAACTCCCTGTTTCACTCTACGAGGCTTGGACTTCTTGTTCCGGAACTGGCGTCCACACATATAATTAACTATACAATGTTTCAAACACTGCCGGAGGGAAGTACTCTCGACGTGCTCGAACAACGCTTTGGATGACATTCACAACATAATCCATTGTATATTGAGGTGGTATCTCCTAGGCGGGAAGAGATATTATTCGCTTCACACTGTCACTCTCGGGTTGCTCGACAAACTGGCGATTAAAATGGCCAGTACACCTCTTCGGATCAGTCACCGTTACGTCTTAAAAATGACTGCTTATGCTCCTGTACCAATCTGTATACTTCTAATGTCAGTTCACTGACTCTGAGATCAGTAGGGTTGGTATGCCGGAGCTCATCACGCTCCTTCGCTAGTCCCGCTGCCTCTGCTGGGAAATTTGGTATGGATCACTAGAGTCTAGCTCAAGCGATGTAGGTATGTATTGAAAAGTGCTGTAACAGGAACGCTAATCCCCCACCTTCACTTCTGGTATGTAACCATTGCAAAGTTGTATTATATATTTTTCATTGAGCTTGGTTGCCTGAACCACAGCGATCAAGATATTCCTCCGATTTATGAAATACACTACATCATCAATTTTACCTCAGGGTTAGTAAGATGTATGAAAGATTGATTAATAAATTTTGTCATACTGAACAAATTGTGCATTTTGAGTACTTGCAAAAAACGTGGGGTTAACTTGTGGCGAGTGTGTGGTTATAGCGATAAATTATATTTTGTATGTGACAAACTGTGAAAAGAACAAAAAATCGTGTGTATTTTATGCCAACAAAAAGGACAAACAAACTAAAACAAACGTTCAATTTCATTACAAAAAAATTAAATTTTAAACACGTAGGATGACGATTTCTTTCGTATTTACTTTGTTTCGACGTACATAAACAGACTGTTAGACAATTGACTTCTCGACCGCGCTTAAACCGTTTTTACTTGTTAATAAATTGTTGAATAAACAACTATGTTTCGTTCACTGACTAATTAACAAATAGCTTAATGATTTAAATAATTAATTGTTTTATAAATTTTTACTTTTTTTTGTTTAAATTTATTTAACAAAGTGTAGTAATCTCTATTTCGAATGCAATGAGCTCTTTTGTTTTGCTTACGATTGTTTGGGAGTAACACTTTAATATATCGATCAACATGATGTGGAGGAGGAGATAATAAAATTGTTATTGTAAATCTGTTAACTATCTGAGTGAGTGAAAAGTAAACATCTGCACGCTTGCAAAAGAACGACACTCACCCATATCAACAAATCGAATTTATTTAATTCACAAAAAGTGAGAGATTTGTAGTTTTCATATTTTTCAATTCGAGTTAGGTAAATAGTTAAAGAGAAAATAAAATCAAGTGACTACACCAACAATAATAAGCGAATGCACAATAACTCATAACAAAACCAGGGTGCGGAGAACGATAAAAATATGCTCTTTCTCACAACTATTCACGGCGACACTTCAATTGTTTTATTTTTTTTAATTTATCGCGAGCGATAAAGTTGCATTGAACGCACAAGGATTTACAATTTTTCACGAGAATAAGCATTGTACGAAAAAAATACGTGTAAATGTCAGACAATTTTATTAAAAAAATTAATTTTTACTTCAAGTAAAAACATAAATTAAATAATTTAAAAATAGATTAAAAACATGTAGACTTTAAGGTTTCTTAAACTCCTTATGAGATACTAACTTTTTCCATTATATTGTCATTCAACTTAACAATTAATAAATTATTAGTTATGGCACTGATTAATATTTTTAGTAAAAGTCGGGTGTCAAATTACAATCTTTTTTATAAATTTGAATTTTTCGCAATTGAAATATTAAACATGCGACCGTCAACAACTTTGGCTGGGATAGAGGCGTGCTTGAATTCTCGTCCTCTTTGTACCATATCGGACAGGTCGAAATAGTCGCGTTAAGGCTTGGACACTGTACATTTATTTGCGGCTCTTCTTCTCACAGACCAACCATAAAGATTAGTTAATCGGTTTGGGAAAATTCAAGCCCTCGCCCACCAGTTTAATTCGATGTGAGAAGGAGAAATATATCAAACATTTACACATGAGATATAAATGGAAATTTTCAGAGCGCGAGTTAGCGATAGAAAATTGTAGTTGTTGTTCGTCATGATCAACCTCCTCCAAAGTCGTGGAAATTAGGCTGTATCGAAAATGTTTATCCGGGCACGAACGGTCACGTTCGAGTCTCGGACGTCTAAACTGAAGCTGGACCAAGGTCGTTGTCTAGTAGTACCTAGAAAGTTTAAACCAAAGACGAAGTGCTGAATGTCGATGAGGTTACTGAAATATATCAAGATCTCAAACTGGACGACAAATACATTGTCGTCAGCTGTCTTGAAAACAGACCTCGTGAAAATTATTAGGACGTTTAAAGAATCCGAACCTGGGTACGAATCCAATAAATTCGATTTATCTGCGGCCCTCGCCTCTGATGACAAACCGATTAAAACCGAGTTCGATTTTCTGTCTGTGGGTTCATCTGCGGCTTCGGTTCCTAACCCCAAAATTGAGAACTCGCGAACCGAGTCCGGATTTTTAGATTCATTTGCGACTCCAGTTTCCACTTCTAAGTCGTCGGCGGTTTCGACCAAAACTAATAGGTCCGAATCCATTCATTAAGATTTATCTCACTCAAATGTAGCTTGTGTGATCGCAAGCATCTTCTGTATAGATGTAGGGATTTCCGAGCCATGAATGTAAACATGCCTTGAAGAGTTATTGTAAAATGTAATTATTGCATATGGTGCTTAGCAAAACCTCACCATGCCATGAACTTTCAAAGTAAGGTGTACCGTATGTAATAATATACCCACACTGTTCCTCGCGGTTCGGTTGTTTAAACCCACAAGTAGTCTTCATAGTTTTCGTGTTCCTACTTCTCGGATTGATGGAGAAATATATAGGCTTTCTGTCACTCGATAAACGACCGTCAGTCAGTCCATTTCAATTGTGACAATGCTGTAAAAAGCGAGTACGCCTACAGCGCATTAAAGACTCCTCTCTTAGCCTTCCTTTGGCAGATCCAGATTTAAATAATACTGGTTGCATAGATTTAAATAATACTGGTTGCCCGTCGCGACGCATCATGTGCATGGGACCGATAACCTACACTACACCTCTTTTGGGTGGGTATTGTCGGGCATATGTAACAGTGTTACCATTTTTTAATCGAATTAGTACAAATAAAGAAAAAGAATTAAATTTGAATCTCAACATGTTTGTTTGTGACGCACTATGTCGCGAGTTTATACAAAAGATGACCATCAATAGAAGGAGTTGGTAAAAGTGCACGAATTTAGGTACAATTACTTGTTGGCTTATTATGTCAAGAACCAAATACAACGAAGGTAGGTCAAGATTTTCGTATAGACAAAAAAAAGGTACCTCCCGATATTCGGCATTCGGTCGATTTAAGCCACATTTTCTAAGAAAATTGCTTCATATTCCCTATTTAGATATCGTAATAGATTCCATTTCCTGTGGCTGACATTGTCTATATAGATTCAAGCTTTCTTATAGTCCTCATTTCACGGTACCTCAAGGTATTCAATATTAAAATTTAAGCCATATTTTTCAACGGAAGTGTTTCAAATTTGATTGTTGATGTCCGCAATAGATACCAGTGAACGCTAAAAAACAGACAGTCATACACAGCACCACAGCATTTTTTGCGGTAGAATGTAATCAGCACTCAATTGAGAGGACATCACAAATAGTAGTGCTCTCCATACAGTGTTAGGTAATCAACTCATTTTAGTATATAAACACACTTTGTCGTCGTCGCCTTTGTTTTAAATGCGTATGAGTAAATAAGCGAAGACAACAGGAACAACGCAAAACGAAGCCACATTGATTCACACGTCAGTTATCATGAGTTGAAATGATATAAAAATGGTTCAGAATGGGGATGCTGAGTGGCGCAAGAGAGGGGGGAGGGGGCCCACTCAGTATTATCAGTATTATATTATATCATTCAGTATTATTCATTTACTTTCTATTCATTTGGTTGTTGTTTTCGTTCATCAATTTAGTTCGTAGATCATACACATTTACGTGTGAATCAAACCGAGTGTTTTACAACAAAAATGTAATCCGGTGGTAATCAGTGGCACATGTCGATTCATCTAATTCGCTTTTGCTAAGAAAATATGGAGTAGTAAAATTGAAATTATCAGATTCACTACGAAGTTGCGATAATACCAACCACTGTAGGAAACAATTGACTACATAGGTGCACGTTTTCCTATAGCTCCCGTTCCCGAACTTAACGTGTTTGTACTTGTTTTTATTATCGACAATATAGGAACAAAATTTTGTTATGACTTCCGCCAAAGTCGATGATACAAGTTCACTGTGTTTGGTTCGATAGGCAATGTACGTGAGCGACTTCTTTATGTAGAGTTATTAGGTTTCTAGATAATAATTATTTTCTAAATACTTTGCAGAATAAGTATAAGCTTCAAACATATAGAATCTAAATCAAAAACATCGTAAACTAGTCAGTTGTTTGAACCTTTTTCGACTTGTTATTAGGACATTTTTTACAATTTGAAGACAATCTTATTGTACGTTTAAAGTTTAAATAGTTGACTTATCAATACCAAAATTCAGATAATAGATATGTTTTCTATCAATTCCAATTAATTAATCAGTTCTCTGAGGCACTTTGTTTTAACCGTTTTTGTCACAACAATGGGCTATTGTATAATTTGTCTTTACATTATTAGTCAACGATATGGTTTTACACTTATGGTATAATACTTACCATTTAGGTTGTGCTTAGATGCAGACTCAGAAGACTTCTCTACTTTAGAAATCATACCAATATCAATATCGTTGTCTGAGTCATTTGGTTGTTGCCCAGGAGATGTTAATTCAGAAGGATTGTTTGAGCCATTTGCGTTTTTGGGAGATTCAGATGAAACCGGTTCGGTATGTGGTGTATCACTACCACTTAGGGTAGATATATCATTATTGTTTTCTATGGCATTCTCCGAAGCAACCGATGGCAACGACCCAGTATCTAGCCCAATTGATTTCGTATGTGACAACTTTGCAGGATCTGGCTTTTTTAAAGTGGATGATTGTGGGTCAATTAACGCCGATACATTTTCCAATACTTCAGATTCGTTAGCAGTTGGTGCCAAGCAAATAGGGCTGTGTATAGGGGTTATGTTAGAGTCATCCATATCTGCAATAGAGTCGTCGTCAAGCATAGATATAGTGCCATGCGCATGCGACTGATGATAACGTAAACCATTGGCATGCTTATACTTTTTGCTACAATCTTGCTCTGGACATTCCAGAAGAATTGGGGATATAGCACATGGTGTTGTGTTCTTGCACTTTTTTGTATTTATCTGGACATTAAGACCAGTCACAGGGTTTATTAAGCTTTGTGGTTGATTTGTTAACCCTGACCCACATACTGAAATGGGAATACCACTAGCATTTACCATGGGTGTTGCCTGGGTTTCATTATCGGTATTGAGTGGTGACACTGACTCATCTTTTGATTTACGTTTCTCTGCGCGAGGAGGTAAGAATCCTGTTGGGGACGTGCTAGGTGTAGATCCTCCATTTCCGGATGAAACTGAAGAACCTCCTCCATTCTTCTCTGTGGAAGTTGAAGACCTTGAACTTCCACGGCCTCCTTTTGTATTACCATTTCGTAACTTAGAATGCACGTGAGGATGTGAAAAATATATCTAAAAATAAAAAATAAATTATGGTATATTTTTGGTTAAAAGAAAATACAATAGAGTTGATGGTTGAATAATAAATATGGATAGCAATAATGGTAAGCCGATGTCATAATTTTTTCGTTGGATAATGTAGAACCAGCCGTTTAAGTAGAAAATATATATTAAACATAATAATTAATAAAGTGAGCTAACAATATATGAAGAAGTTTGGGGGCGTTGTATCATTTGAATCCTTTGAATTTAAAGATATTACGGATTTCGGTAATTTAAGAATCAATTTCACATTAACTCATATTATATATATGCCAACGAACTACTTTACTAGCTTACAACATATATACACTTAGTTCTTCAAAATATAACCTAACATTAGTTTAACAAGGACATTATTATTTTTTGTAAAGGATGATTTTTTAGTGTAAACAACTCATGCATGATTCACTGTCAAACATCATCATCAGTTGGGTCTAAATTTAGCCGTGAATCGTCTTCCAATCAAACATCACTTGCAAATCATTCAAATGCGTGCTGCTCTGTTACGAAATGTCATCGCTCTCAAAGATTGTATTAGTTAAATTTTTTAACAGAATATTATTAATTGTGCAAATTTAATGGTGTAGAAGACATGGTTATCTATTTTATATTGATTTTTTGTACATAGTTAGGTCAATTTCACAAACCCAAAATCCTCGTAAGTGGACATATATGCCATACCAGTTGTTTGGACAGTTCACCTCTCTCAGATCCAACGACTTGTCGCGCTCTTTGATAGCTAACCATTTTTCTTTGACTTTTCCAGATGTCGCACTTGATTTTTCTGCACACGATATTTCTCTTCGAAATATTCGGCTTCCTTCATATTGGGAGATCATGTTTTTTCGTGGTCCTTCGCATTTCTCAACATCTATTCACTTTTTCACATCTGAGAACGCAGTTCGATTACTTTGTTCCTGAGGAGATTGTAAATTGTTTTCATAGGCTTGCATTTACGTGTGCTACACATCTTCCGCTTCTTCTATATACCTATTCATTTTAAATTGAATATATTTTTAATGTATATCTTTAGAATGGTCCTCTTTTTAAAGTTGGTGTTTAATTTGGTACGTTTATTGCTTTCTTTTAGTTTTTTTTTTTTAATTTATTTTATTAATTTAGCTCCCTTCGCCTATTTTTAAAATAAGGTTAAGAAGTAGCTAATCTTCAATAAACTTAATCTATTCGTAGCCCAACAATTGTTCTTATCTATTTTTATATTTAAAAGGGAACATTATATGGCTGCTTGGCTCTTCCTGCAAGTGGTCTTGGCTACCTTGTGATATTCGGTACACCAGGCACAGCTTATGTTTCACTGTTAATGCATCGGTTAAAAATCATTTGAGCAATACAACTTCAATGATTTTTATATGGACCATACCCAGCAAAAACATATTACAAATCGAATTATTTAAAAAAAGCAATGTTACTGGAAAAAGGTTGTTATTCCTTGACCCCAACTAAATCTGCAGATAAGTTTTTTTGGTAGGTTTAAAGAAACATTGATTTCAAAGAAGCTTAGTCGAATTTTACATACTCTTTCCCACATTTTGGAAGGTATCTCACGAATAAAAGTTCAAATGTTGTCTTCCAATGGGTCAGCTGAAACGAGATCAGATGTATAAGACATGAGCTTTAACAAAGCTCACAAAAAATAGTCTAAAGACGACATATCGCACCAATTGAGAACGTTCTAGAACATTAAATAAAATGTTCACCGAACTCGCCTCTCAATAAGGGCATTGCTACGCGATTGTTGTGCTGTGTGACATGAAGCCACATGTTACCCAAGTCAAGCCACTTACATTTTGGGCAAAAAATGTTGGATCTCATCTTATTCTAAGTCGATTTAACGATGCCCGTCTGTCTGTTGAAATCACGATACAGCCCACATTAGTTGACGTAGAGCGCCAAAATTTAGCAGAGCAATTTGTATTTTATCTAGGATGGTTGGTATTGAAAATGATATATATCGGTCTGGTATAGTCCCAATATAACGGTACCTCCCAATATTCGGTACTTTGATGATTTATGCCACATTTTTTCACGTAAATGTCTGAAAATTTGTATTTAAAGGCCATAATGGGTTCCAGCTCCGGTGGCGAAACATTGCATGTATGGGTCCATGATTTGGTATAGCCCCCATATGACGGTACCTCCCGATGTTCGGTTATTTGATGACTTTGCCACATTTTTTCACGGATTTGTCCAAAAATTGGTATTTGTTGGTCATAATGGGTTCCAGCTCCGGTAGCGAAATATTGCATGTATGGGTCTATGATTTGGTATAGCTCCCATATAACGGTACCTCCTGATATTCGGTATTTTGATGGCTTTTTGCCACATTTTTTCACTGATTTATCTAAAAATTGGTATTTGTGGGTCATAATGGGTAGTTCGTGTGGCGAAACATTGTATGTATAGGTCCACGTTTTAATATAGTCCCCATATAACGGTACCTCCCGATATTCGGCATTTTAATGATTTTTGCCACCTTACCCTAAGGTAAGGCATTTTAATGATTTTTGCCACCTTACCCTAAGGTAAGGTGGCAAAAATCATTAAAATGCCGAATATCGGGAGGTATCGTTATATGGGGGCTATACCAAATTGTGGACATACACATGCAATGCTTCGCCAAAGCAGCTAGAACCCATTATGACCTACAAATTCCAATTTTCAGGGAAATCCGTGAAAAAATGTAGCCCGGCCCGGCCGAACTTAATGTTTTTTACTTGTTTTTTTTTTTTTTTTTTTTTTTTTGATTCATTGGAAGCTTTTGCAATGCTTCTGGCTGATCTTAGCTCCAAATTCTGCAATTGTGCTTATTTCCGTACCAAATAAGCCTAAAATGAACACAAAGTGAGAGCGATGACATTTCTTAACAGAACAGCACGCATTTGAATGATTTGCAAGTGATGTTTGGTTGGAAGACGATTCACGGCTAAATTTAGACCCAACTGAAGATGTTTGACAGTGAATCATGCATGAATTGTTTAAACCAGTGTTGCTAAAAAGATAATAACTAAAAAATCATCCTTTACAAAAAATAATAATGTCCTTGTTAAACCAATGTTAGGTTATATTTTGAAGAAATAAGTGTATACACGTTCGATACAATATTTCAAAATATTGTAAGCTAGTAAAGTAGATCGTTGACAGTTATATAACAAGAGTTAATGTGAAATTGATTCTTAAATTCCCGAAATCCGTAATATCTTTAGTAGAAAATATATAGTAAACATAATAATTAATGAAGTGAGCTAACAATATATGAAGAAGTTTGGGAAGTTGTATCATTTGAATCCTTTGAATTTAAAGATATTACTGATAGACGTTGAGACATTTTAAATTTTTAGATTAATAGATTAGATTAATAATATAAAAAACAAAAAATTAAAAAAACTAAAAGAAAGCAACAAACGTACCAAATTAAACACCAACTTTGAAAAGAGGACAAAGAGTCCCATCCAAAAGATATAAATTAAATAATATATTCAATTTAAAATGAATAGGTATATAGAAGAAGCTGGAAGATGTGTAGCACACGTAAATGCAAGCCTATGGAAACAATTTACAATCTCCTCAGGAACAAGTAATCGAACTGCGTTTTCAGATGAAAATCGAAATGGAAAAAAGTGAATAGATGTTAAGAAATGCGAAGGACCACGAAAAAACATGATCTCCCAATATGAAGGAAACCGAATATTTCGAAGAGAAATATCGTGTTCAGAAAGATCAAGTGCGACATCTGGAAAAGTCAAAAAAAATTGGCTAGCTATCAAAGAGCGCGACAAGTCGTTGAATCTGAGAGAGGTGAACTGTCCAAACAACTGGTATGGCATATATGTCCACTTACGAGGATTTCGGGTTTGTGAAATTGACCTAACTATGTACAAAAAATCAATATAAAACAAATAACCATGTCTTCTACACCATTAAAGTTGCACAATTAATAATATTCTGATAAAAAAATTGTAACACATACAATCTTTGCAGGAAATCTCTTTTAGTGCGCTGTATGTAATAAAAAAGATTTACAATTGCTACCAGTGTTACAAAAATTATGTATTTTCTATATCAGCTATCAGTTACATATTCACCTCCAAAAATGTTTCTAATAATAGCATCCAACATGATAATAATAAGTCTTCGTCAGGATTAAAGAATAACAACTTTTTTTTTTCACAAACTACGAAGAGCAAGAGCCAGTTAACTCCAAAGATGACACTTGCGCATAGAGGGTGAGATGAAAAAAACTGCAAACAACTTCAGACTGCTTTCATTTTTAAGCCACTCGTCCGTCAGCTTTTAAAATTTTTCCAGTCCTAGCTCATTATATTGTTTACAAGCATACAAAAACAGTTTGGTTAGAATTTTCTAGAAAAAGTTATTCGTGATGGAATTCAAGCGCGATAGTGTGATTTCTTTATATTTGGCAGGAAAAAGTGACTATCGTTAGAGCACTCCAGCATTTAAATGTGAATAAATCTTTTGTGTATCGTACCATTGAAAAATGAGCTCGGCGTAAAGCCATTGAAATTCCAAAAAGTGCAACAACTTACACCGCAACAGAAAGAAAATAGACTCAAAAGAGCTTTAGAGTTGCTTTGCTTGGCCGAAAGTGGTGAAATGCCGAATTTCGTGGTCTAGCAGTTTGTAAACTAATAAAATGATCGCATTTACTTGCCAAAGATGTCAGCTGAAAATGTGCACCTTCGGTTGGCCACCAGAACTCAAGCGCCGGCCATGGTGATGGTGTGGGCCACCATAACAGCCGTTGGTCGCTCTCCGCTCGTATTAATTGACCGTGGCATCAGAAAAAATGCCGAATATTATCGCGAAAATATTCTGGAGGGCCTTGGGCACGCAAAAACTCGACCTTGGACATTCCAACACGACTAAGCACCATCGCACTCAGCACGCGCCACCCAAGATTGGGTACAAAATGAGGTTCCTCGCTTCATTTC